CCCTTTTCTGTAAAATTTTAATCTAAACTATTTCCTTTCTGTGTTTCTTACCTCTGAGGTAATAGAGTTTAGATTAAAATTCATGACTTCAGATGTAGATGTTTTAAGTTTGATGTGCCATTAAGACAGCTAACTGAAAATATCTAATAGGCAGGTGGAAATAGAGGTATGGTGGAGATATGGATTTATCTTTCAATGCATATAGGTAAGCAATGATAGAGAAGCTTATGAATCAATTTGAGAAAGGAAAGAGAAAAAAAAGAATAGAATATTAGAAACCAAATGAGTTAAAGAGGAATGAGCAACTGTGTTGAGAGATTCATCAAGGACAGGAAAACTATCTTTTTTTTTTTGAGGGGGTACCAAGGATTGAACCCAGGGGTGCTTAACCAGTAAGCCATATCCCCAGCTCTGCTGCGCGACCAGCACGCTGGCTTCATACAAGAGGTTCGAAACATAGAAGTTAACTAGTGAGATCAAAATAAACACACAAACTCAATTTACCTTTTACTTTGACCAGGTCTGAGACGGCCCTCCCTCTGGCTCCTGCCTCAAGCCACCCGGTGGGGCAGCGAGGCTTACTCAGGACTAGCAGGAGAGAGAGAGAGAGAGAGAGCACACCAGGGAGTGGCCTTTTATTGGGGAACAAGAAATTCAGGGGAAAATTCCATCCAATGAAGGTTGAGGGGGGCAGCACTCCAAGGTCAGGGTCAGTGATTGGGCTCAGGGTTAATGGTCAGTCACACCCCCACATGGATGGGCTCTCGCACCTAGAGAGGGTGGGGATTAGTTTGACACAGTTTAGCCAGAACGCCTCACACCCAATCAGTGAGGTGCCCAATCACGTGCAAGAATGGCTTCCCACACCCAGCCCTTTTTATTTTTTTTCATTTTGAGATAGGGCCTTCCACCATGCGACCAGTGCACTGGTTTCATTAAAGAGGTTCTTGGCATAAAAGTTAACTAGTGAGATCGAAATAAAACACACAGACTCAGTTACCTTTTTCTATGACCAGGTCCTAGACGGCTCCCCCTCTGGCTCTCACCTGGAACCACCCGGTAGGGCAGCAAGGATTACTCAGGGCTAGCAGGAGAGAGAGAGAGGGAGCACGCCAGGGAGTAGCCTTTTATTGGGGAACAAGAAATTCAGGGGAGAATTCCATCCAATGAAGGTTGAGGGGGGCTGCACTCCAAGGTCAGGGTCAGTGATTGGCCCCCGGGGTCAGTGGTCAGTCACACCCCCACACGGACAGGCTCTCTCATCAGGAGAGGGCCGGGAAAGCTCTGACACAGTTAGCCAGAGCGCCTCAGACCCAAACCGGGAGTTGCCCAGTCACGTGTGAGAATGGCTTCCCACATATTCCCCCTTTCTTTTCTTAAAAATGAGGCGGCGGTTCACTCTTTGGAGTTTCTGTATTCTTGTTCCGAAGACTCGCCATCCTATAATTACAACACAAAAGAGAATTAACAGCAAAGAGAATAATCCAATAATGTACCAGGCCGAGTGTTTAAGAATATTTCCAGGGTTGAATCCATTCAACTCCTTCAATATTTGGTTAGCCAAGGAAGAAGGATCTGAAAAATCAGCTCTATTATTTTGAATGTCTTGGATATGGTGATGAAGTTCCAGAATATCCAAGCTATTATTACTATTTTGCCAAATACCTAATAAATGGTTTTTAACCTTCTCCCAATCCCAGAGAGAAGCATTGTACTTGGCAGCTGTAACACACACATATTTATAATTGGCATGGCATTTAAGCCTTTCTTTAAATTTTAAAGCTGAAAGTTTATTACCTATGTCTATAACAGTCGCCTCTAAGGTGTTTAATTTAGTCTCAATCCTTTCATCAATATTTACTTGATTACGCAGAGCCTTGGAAGTATTTTGAGCTAAATTATTAAGAAATTTTGCATGCTGAATATTTTGAGACAATGTCAGAGACGCAGAGACAGTGGAGGCAATAAAAGAGACTAACGCCAAAACACCAACAATTATAACTCCAATAGCACGTTTAGGTCTTGCTAGCTGGGCATGAATTTGCTGCAAGACTTGTAAACCAGTATCAGCATACCATGGCTCTGAAATATTAGCAGGTAATAAAACGAAAGAGGGCTGATGAAGTATCAGCACTCCTTTTCCTCCATTATTCCTAGTAATACAATTGGTTAGGTTACATTTATTACAAGTAACAATATATCTGTCATCTATCCATTTAACTTTTACATTTCCAATAATTAAAACATAAGGAGATTGGACACAGGCTCGTAAGCCATAGCAAGATCCCTCCTTACAGTTCTTGCCAACAAATTTTGGTAAAGGCTTATCTGTAAAATGTAAGAATTCTGAGGCAGCAATTAAGCGCCAAACATCCTTTTGAACACCACCTTCACTATAAATCAAAATATTACTAACAAATCCTGCAGGTGTCATAGCAGAATTTCTTCGTAATTGTCTCTTATCAATTTTTGGAGACCAGTCTAAAATATACTCACTATCTTTAGACACCTTATGTTGTACAGGAAAGGTATTTACACAATCCATCCATCTAGGAAAGGTGCCAATCTCAACTGTAGAACTATTTGGGCAGTGGGGTATCCGTGGAGGTTTTGCAGAAATGACTGGCTTGTTATGGGAAAGTCATATCTTAATTACTGATCTAGTAGAAGGTTTTAAGTCTCCATAAATAGAATTATTTGTCAGTCTAGGTCTACCAATCGCTGTCTTTTCTTTGAATGATATTTTCAGACAGCCAGCATGTTTATCGTGTGACCAACACAAAGGTAATTGGGCACTGTAGCCAGAATAATTAAATCTAGTCACATGATTGGGAGTAATATGAGTATCTGTAAATTCTCCCATCATGAATGAGTCATTAGTAAATACTGGAATAGATTCTCCAGTCCACACAGCTGGGTGTACCAGGGGTGGATCTGGGAAATATGTCCAGTAAGTGTCTACTTGATCCCCCTTTACCTGACAGCCCATCAGGGCAATTACTGTTGCTACCATCATCACTGGGGTCCTGTTCTCTCCTAAGTGTCGAAGTATTCAGGAAGCCTGGGTTGTTAGCTTCTTCACGTCTTCCCATGAAATCAGCTTTTTGGCTGGGTCAATCTGGTTTCTCTTTGTCTTTTTCCGATATCTCTTCCTTTTGGATAGGGGCTCCTCCGGGTTGATCTTCAGTTGCTTGAATCTGGGTTCTAGCTCTTCCATGTCTGATTGCGCGTTCAGGCACCCAAATAGGACGAAAAGCACCTTCTGGGAAAATACAAGCATGACCTCTGCCCCACATAATCACTGGATCTGGGCCTTTCCATTGACCGGTCTGTAAATCTTTCCACAAAACTCTGCCTAAAGGGCCTGTTACTGAGGGAGACATTTGCCTCTCAGCCGCAGTGTGACCTTCTGCGTCACAGTTTTAAAAATTTAAAACGAACAAAGCATGATTGAGGCTATTTTGGGGAGTCATAACCCTATTCCCCCCTTTTAATTTTTGTAATTGAAGCTTAATAGATAAATGAGCTCGTTCCACAATGGCTTGACCTTGGGGGTTATAAGGAATTCCTGTTTTATGATTAATTTGAAACTCTTGGCAAAATTGTTGAAAAGAAGAGCTTACGTAAGCTGGAGCATTATCTGTTTTAATCTGCATAGGGCACCCTAACACAGAAAAAGCTGCTAGGCAATGAGAAATTACATGTTGAGTATTTTCCTTAGTACGTGCTGTGGCAAAAATAAATCTAGAATAAGTGTCCACTATGACATGCACATAACATTGCTTACCAAATTGAGGAATATGAGTTACATCCATTTGCCATATTTGATTTGGTTTTAATCCATGGGGATTTACCCCTGATGGCAGAGATGGAGTGTGAATAACACACTTAGGGCATTGGCTTACAATCTGACGGCTCCCCCTCTGGCTCTCACCTGGAACCACCCGGTAGGGCAGCAAGGATTACTCAGGGCTAGCAGGAGAGAGAGAGAGGGAGCACGCCAGGGAGTAGCCTTTTATTGGGGAACAAGAAATTCAGGGGAGAATTCCATCCAATGAAGGTTGAGGGGGGCTGCACTCCAAGGTCAGGGTCAGTGATTGGCCCCCGGGGTCAGTGGTCAGTCACACCCCCACACGGACAGGCTCTCTCATCAGGAGAGGGCCGGGAAAGCTCTGACACAGTTAGCCAGAGTGCCTCAGACCCAAACCGGGAGTTGCCCAGTCACGTGTGAGAATGGCTCCCCACAGGGCCTTGCTAAGTTGCTGAGGCTGGCCTTGAATTTGTGATCCTCCTGCCTCAGCCTCCAGAGTCACTGGGATTTCTGGTGTGTACCACCACACCCAGCAGGAAAAGTACCTATTGGCTTTCACTCTGTGGAAGTCATTGATAATTTTGGTAGGAGAGTGATTTCAATGGCATGGTGTGGGTAGAGGTCAGAACGCAGTAAGTTGCATGTTTAGAAGAAAACAGAGGAGAGAACAAGTATGTTATTCCCATCAGAGTCTTGGCTATGAATAAAAATGTAGACTCTGGGGTCCAGAAGAGGCTACAGGGTTGTACTGAAATTTAATATTCGGATAAAGGTAAGCCAGATTGGTGCCAATGGGAAAGTGATACCTTTCATTCATATTTGCTATTCCTTGTGATATTGACATTTTAAAGAAGACTGGATACTGAGCTAAAAGAAATCTTGGTGGAAGAAAATGAAGCACAGAAAAGGAAAGGAAAGGGACTTATGTTCAAGGTTGGCATGAAAAAATTCTCAGATCATTTTATTCTCCTCAGATTTTCTCTTTGTCACCCTTTTCTTATTTCATAAATGGTATCATACTTCCTAGTCCTTTATTTAAAATTCACGTTTTAAATTTTGTAATAGTAATAGACTTACAGGAAGTTGCAAAAAATAGTACAGAGAGTCCCATGTACCCTTTACTCATTTTCCTCCAATGCTAAGATCTTAATTGTAGTACAACTTCAAAATCAAAATAGTGACAATGGTATAATATTGCTAAACAGACTACAGAATTTATTAAGTTTAAGAGATTTTACATGCATTCATATCTGTATAAGTCTATGTATTTTAGCACAGGTATAGATTTATGTACTCAATAGCATAATCGAGATACAAAACTATTCCATCAGCACACAGGAACTCCTTGTATAATCATGCATATGCCACACCCCAATTAGTCCCTGGCAACCATTAATCTATTCATTCTATAATTTTGTTATTTCAAAAATGTTATATGAACACTATTGTACAGTATGTGAACTTTCAAGATTCTTTTTTTTTTTTTGTCATTCACCACACATAATACCCCTGAGGTCCATTTACGTTATTGTTAATTTCATTACAGAGCAGTATTCCATGATATGGACAATTTGTTTAACCATTTACCCATTGCAGGACATCGGAGTTGTTTTCAGTTTGGGTATATTATTAATACAGTTGCTATGAAAATTATTGTATGAGCTTCTGTGCCAACATAGGTTTTCATTTCTCTGGGATAAATATCCAGGAAGGCAATTGCTGGTTTGTATGTTGATATATGTTTAACTTCAAAAGAAATTTCCAATCTCTTTTCCAGAGTGGGTGTACCATTTTATATTCCTATCATGAATATATGAGAAGTATAGTTTGTATCCTCAAAACCATTTTCTCTTTAACCATTCTAAAAAGTGGTGTAAGTCATATATCATTGTGGTTATAATTTGCATTCATTGATGACTTATGAAGTTCAACATCTTTTCATGTGATTACTTGCCATCCATATACCCTCTTTGATGAATGTATATTCATATCTTTTGCTCATTTTCTAATTGGACTGTTTTTTTACTGTTGAGTTTTGAGCGCAATACTCCAAATTGATCAGATATTCTATGGTTTGCAAATAATTTCTCTCAATCTGTAGCTTGTATTTTATTCTTAAAAAATTTCTTACAGAATCAAACTTTTTAATTTTGATGAGGCTAAATATAGAAACGTCTTCTATTATGTATTGTGCTTTTGAAGTGAAGTTCTTCAACTTTTCTCCTGAAGATTGTTCTCCTTTTTTTTTTTTTTTTTACTAATGTTGTAGCTTTACATATTATATTTAAATCCATGATACATTTTGAGGTAACTTTTATAGAAATTTTTAGTGAGGTTTAGGTTGAGGTTCTTTTTTTTAAAAAAAAAATGTGTATTCAATTGCTTCAGCTTGATTTCTTCATTGAATTGTCTTTGTTATGTTTGTCAGATTAGTTTGGCATATTCGAATATTCGTATGGGTCTATTTCTAGGTTCTCTTCTGTTCCATTGTTTTATGTGTTTATCCCTCTGGCAACACTTTAACATCTTGATTACTGTAGCTTTCAGTCAGGTAATGTGAGTCCTCCAACTTTTTCTTCATCAAAATTGATTTAGCTTGATTAATTTTATACTGGATATTTTCTTCTGTCCTAAAAGGAAAGAAAAAGAATAGAGAAGAAATGGGCAGTTGAAACTTACATAAGTATGCTAAGAACAGTTAGGCAGTTCATGCAGATTTCTGGGTTCTACACCCTGAGACAGAGTTTGATTTCCAATTGTTTCTGATACAATTGGTTCTAGATTTTTTTAAAACAATAATATAAGGAGAAACAAGAAAAGAAAAACCGAAACTCAAAAGCAACCTTTATCACTGTTGTTGGGATTGAGGCTCTCTGTTTTCTTTGTTTTCAACCTCTTCCAATTCCCACTTAAAAAGCACTCTACCACTGACCTACAACCCCAGCCCCCCCTAAACTATTTTCTGAAGATGCATTATCATTTGTGTCTATACATGATACAAATAATACAATCAAACTTTTAAAAGTATGATTCTTATTACATTATAAATCCTAAATGTTTCTGGAAAAACACTTAGCAGAAATTTGTAGACAGACAGGTTCTTCTCAATAGTACTTTGCTTCAGAGTCAAATATGCTAGAACTCATCTATTTAAGAAGGGCAGCTATATAGGTTCAACCTTTGGTAAGTGTATCAGAATATATATTGTAGAGATCAAGAAAGAAGACATGAAGCTGGGTGCAGTGGCACATGCCTGTAATCCCAGTGGCTCAGGAGTATGAGGCATGAGGATTGCAAATTCAAAGCCAGCTTCAGGAACTTAGGCCCTAAGAAACTCAGTGAGACCCTGTGTCTAAATATAAAAAAAGGCTGGTGATGTGGTTCAGTGGTTGAGTGCCCCTGGGTTCAATCCTTGGTACAAAAAAAAAAAAAAAGAGGAGGAAGACATGAGACATATGTTTCTTAATAAGGGCAAAGAATAGAGGTAAGATATTGACGAGTTACCTATACTTCCTCCCACCAACAATAGTATACTATTTACTTGTCCAACATAAGCATTATAACTACAAAATAGAAACATAAAATACTCTTATTCCTTTAGCTGATTGGGTTTAGTGTGTAGGTATATGTGAAAAATCAAAACTTTCAAGTTTAAAAAGGAGATAAAATAATCATTTAAAATTCATTCCCCAGATATTTTGCTCCAAGATATCCCTTGCCAATGACCTCCCACAGCCTTTTAAAAAATAACTTTCAGAGGAGGGAATGGGAAAATGCTGGTGAATGAAATCTACTAAATTATACCATGTCCATATACAAATATACTGCAATGAATCCTTATATATAAAATCATATTGCACTAATTAAAATACTAATACTAATACTAAGAATAATGGAAAAGAGATCAGTAATGTAGAGCAAGCAGGTCAGGGGGAGGGAGGAGGGAAAAAAGGGAAGGAACTAGGGAATGAAATTGACCAAATTATGTTATGTGCATGTATAAATATGACATAATTAATCCTATTATGTATAATTATAAAGCACCAATTAAAAATATAACCAATTAAATCATCTAGCATAAGCCTTTTTTTTCTTTTTTTTGGTACCAAGGATTAAACGCAGGGGCATTGGCCACTGAGCCACATCCCCAGCCCTATTTTATATTTTATTTAGATATAGGGTACAGGGTCTCACTGAGTTGCTTAGCACCACACTAAGATGCTGATGCTGAGGCTGGCTTTGAACTTGTGATTATCTCAAGTCTCCTGAGCTGCTGGGATTACCAGCTTGTGCCACTGCTCCCAGCTTGCATATGCCCTTTTTAGGCTAGTTATAAGTAGGAAGGTTTCCTAAGCTCTAGTGAAATTTTTAGGATGGCATCTTATGTTTACTGCATGAATAAAACTTATCTATTGGGGTATAAAAAATGCTATTTCATTGTCTGCTTACAAGTGAGGTGTGTGCATTTGGGGATGATGTTCAGTACAAAGTTAAAAGGAAAATGCTTTTTACCCCATTTGTCTCCTCCTTTATTCTAGGGAGTAAAGTTCTTGCATAAGTTCTTCTTTTTCTTGTTGTAACTCCTGCAAATGCTGTTGGTTTTGCTCCAATCTATCCTCCAACCACTGTAGGAGAGGCCCGCTGACTGCTGACATCTGACTGCACAGATTCTTGGTGAACACTTTAATAGGAAAAACACAGATTAAGTGGGTAGGGTGTGGCTGGAGGAGGTAGGCACTGGGACTGTGCCTTTGGGGTATATATTTTGTATTTGGCAAGTGGAGTCTCTTTCTCTGTTGCTGATCAGCATGTGAGCTACCTCCCTCCAACACACTCTTCCAACATGATATTCTGCTTCACCTCGAGCCCCGAGGAATGGTGCCAGCTCTCTATGGACTGAGACCTCTGAAACCATGAGCCCTCAAATAAACGTTTCCTCCTCTACAATTGTCTTTGTCAGGTCTTTTGGTCACAGCAATAAAAAAGGCTGACTAAAACATAAATCTTACCTGAACCATTATGGATCTTGGTTACTGAGTCCAGATGTGTAAGGCTAAAGGGATAAAATAGCTACAGTTAGTAGCAAAGAAGCACTAAAGGAAAACAAAATGGTTTTGAACAAAATGAAAAACTGTGGGAGTCCAACCTCCCACGTGACTGAATTAACTCCCCTGCTGGACGATGTGGCATCAGACACCCAAGCTGCTAGACTGCCCCACTCTTCTAGGGTTCGAGTGATTTGTGTCTTCCTGCCCAGGCTTCTCTTCCTTACAGCCCCATGGGTGAAGCTATGCTCACCTGTTCCTTTTGTAATATAACCCCTTGCCCTGTTTAGAATAGAATCTTCCATGGAAGTGCCTTGTGTGTGTCCCCTCCTCTTACTGTGCCCTTGGGTGTGGCCTACCCAGGTGTCAGTCAACCTGCTGACAGTGGACATCATGAAGATAGACTCAGCCCCCTGAAACCTGACCCCTTGCCTCATTTGAATAGCTTCTCCTCAATAAAAGGGGTCAGCGCGTGCTCTCCCTCTCTCTCTTTCTGCGGACCCGTAAGGTCAGAGGAGCCGTCACAGCAACCCCAAAGAAAAAGGTATTGTGTCTCGTTTTCCTGGAGTGAGCCCTGAGCCTTTTAGTCGCGAACAGAAACCTGGCAATAAACAACACCAGGCCTTTGCATGATATTCAAGTTCCCATTATTATTATTTTTTAAATTTGAGATGGGGCCTTCTGAAGTTGCTGAGGCTGGCCTTGAACTCACAATCCTCCTGCCTCAGTCTTCCAAGCAGCTGGGATTACAGGTGTGTACCAACATGCCGGGCTCTCATTGTTATTATTAATTTTTAAATGATTTGGGGGATGTGATTTTATTTAAGTCACTGCTTCTCACTCACTGAAGCCTTGATATAATACATGTTCATTGCACAAGACCCAGTGCTTGCCAACAGGGATACTAAGATGTTGTAGTTTATCTTGTTTTCATAACCCCCCCCCAAAAAAATATCCTATCCCTTGTATGATCCAAAGAAGATTGTTATCCTACAGTGTAAGAAACATGGTTAGGGACTGTTATAAAGCTTTCTCAGAGAGAGATGAAAGACAAGGGAATCATGTGAGTTGAGATGCTACAGATAAAAAGACTAGGCCTCAAGAAGTAGAAAAGAGGGACAAAGAGAGGCTCTACCTGTGAATCCTCCTATATGCATCCTGTTCCTCCTGACAAAGGATCTTGGGCAGCTCCACTGCTGATTCAAGGCATACTTTTCCAATGGTGACATGGGGTACAATATGGATTGGAATTTCAATTCTCTCATACCTGCAAGGCAACCAGTTCAGGTCAGTTTTTAATCCTTAGATATAATCAGAAGTTCTCTATAGTTTTTTAATTGACTCTAGGATATGGCATACTTCAAAGATTGACTCCATCAGATTCATAAACGGTCACTTGTTCTAACTCAGTGTTCACTAGCAGCCCTCATTTCCCACTGTCTCCTGGGGAAAAAGGTAAGAAATACACATATACTTGCATTTTCATGCTACAGTGGAAGAACCAGGTATATATGTTACTAAGACCAACCAATTCACCTCTACACACTTCTCATATTAAATACACCTAAACTCTTGGGCTCAGCAGAGAATCCAGGTTGAGGACACTTGTTGTAAAGAGGCCCATTGGTACATGGTGATAAAGCAGAATAAGATCTAATTCCCTGTTCTCTTCCCCACACAGGAACATGTATCTACGTCCCATAGCACAACCTAAATGGAGCACAAATATTGAGGAATTACAACCTTCCCTCCCCTCCCCATAACCATGTAGTCAGGAAAAAATTCATGAAAGAACATGCCATATCTGCTATATGCTTTTTGTTTTAGCACCAGGGATTGAACTTAGGGGTGCTTTACCACTGAGCCACATCCACAGCCCTTTCTATTTTTAATTTAGAGACAGGGTCTTGCTAAGTTGCTTAGGGCCTTGCTAAGTTGCAGAGGCTGGCTTTGAACTTGTGATCCTCCTGCCTCAGCCTCCAGAGATGCTGGAATTACAGGTATGTGCCAGGTGCTTTGAAGAAGGCTCTTTGGAATACTACAGAGTGACTATCATTGCTGATGGTTCCAACAATATTGAAGAAGTCAGTCTACAGGTATTCATTTGAGTTTGTCAAGAGCATGAACAGAAATGATTCCAGTAGTCTACTGGCTTTGGATATACATCTTAATAAATTGCTAGAGGAAGCTTCTGCAGCTTCTGTTAGTTTACTTGATACTATAATATGAGAACCAAGGAAGGTAGAGATCTGCTTCTGTTAATGAACTAGATTTTGGACCAAATAAAAGAGCATTTGTTATAAATCATTGGAAAAACTACTGATTCAATCAGCAATTATAGGGTCAATAAATGGAAAAGCAAGAAAATCCAGAGATATGAACTTCAGAGTTTAAGACAATTTTCCTGAAAAGGTACTTTCTGATTCCAGAGGAGGAAATTTATTTATTTACTTTTTAATATTTTATTTTTTAGTTATAGTTGGGCACAATACCTTCATTTATTTATTTATTTATTTTTATGTGGTACTGAGGATTGAACCCAGGGCCTTGCACATGCTAGGCGAGCACTCTACCACTGAGCCACAACCCCAACTTCCAGAGGACGAAATTTAAAGGATAAAAAGTTCAAGAGAGTTTTTATAACGCAAGAGTGCTGTGGATACAATGGCAATTTTAAATGAATCATGATCAAGAGATGAACCTGAGTAGACACCAGTAGTGATACTTCTCCCTGTCTTGCATCTGTCTTATCTCGGGGCATAGACAGCTTTGCTTGGGTAAGCAGAAACCAGTGTGGATTTTAACAATCATGAGTGTGTATGTGACAGACTGCAATCTGCAGAAGCCCTAAACACAAAATTAACTCTCCTTCCTGTCCATTTTGACCAACAGGACTTGCTAAGAATGTGGAATCCTAGGATGTTGGGATTTGTGTTAAAAAGCAGATAAATCTTCATTATTTCATATTTTTTAGCTCTAAAATTCCTGTTAGGAGGTGGAAAATGGATAATCATAGGGCAGAACTTACTCTGTGCTCGTATCCCATGAAACCAAAGTAAACCAGAAAATAACTAAAGTAGCAACACAGTTCTGACATAGACAATCTCTGATTGGATTGAAGTGATAAGCTTCCTATCTGAGCTGCATGATATAAGAAAGGGCACACCTCTCCAGGAAATAGTATTTAGTCTAATATCTAGTTTATTTAATAATTAAGGATATTTATGTACCAAACATCAGAGCTCCTAAATATAAAGAAGCAAAGTTTGACAGAATTGATGGGAGAATTAGCAATATAATAATAGCAAGAGATTCAATATCTAAATTTCAAAAAAGGATAATACAATAAGACAGAAGGTAAATAAGAAAGTAGAGGACTTTGACAACACTATATATCAACTGAGCCTAATGGACTATACAGAACAAGCCAATGAACAACAAAAGAATACATAGTCTTCTCAAGTGTACATGGAACTCTCTTTGGGATAGACCACATGTGAGACCACAAAGCAAGACTTAATAAATTTTAACACTGAAATTATAGAAATTATCTTTTCTAATCACAGTCTAAGGAAATGAGGAATGAAGAGCTGGAAGAAACTAGAAAATCCACAGAAGTGTAAATTAAACAGAATTAAACACATTGCTTTTAACCAATATGTCAAAAGAAAAATCATATGAAGAAACCATGAGACAAATGAAAACCTAAAAAGGCAACATAGTAAGCCTCATGTGATGAAGAAAAAGCAGTGCTAAGAGCAAATCACAATATTACTTTTATAACTGTGAACATGTACATTAAAAAAGAAATCTCAAATCAATAATCTAACTTTACACCTCAAGCAAGTAGACACAGAAGAACAAAATAAACCTAAAGCAAGCAGAAAGAAATAGTAAAGATTAGAGATTAAAGGAATAGAGAATAGAAAATCAATAGAAATATCCCTGATTGAGTTAGATGCAAAAAAATCCTTAATAAAATGTCAGCAAATCATATTTAATAACATTAAGAAATTGTATAAAACATAGAAATCATGTGATGCTAAAAGATTTTGCTTAATGGCCAAATTGGTTTTATTCCAGGGATGCAAGTATCGTTTAACATATTCAAATCAATAAATATAATTAGTCACATAAATAGAATTAAGGACAAAAATCACTTAGGCATCTAAACATATTCAGAGAAAATCTCTGACAAAATTCAGCACTCATTTACAATAAAAACATTAGAGAAACTAGGGATGGAAGGAACTTATTTCAACATTACAAAGGCTATATACAAAAAAACCCCAAAGCTAACCTCATAATAAACTGGAAAAAGTAAAAGCAATTCCTTTAAAATCTAGGACAAAACAGGATGTGCTCTCACCATTCCCATTTAATATAGTGCTAGAAATTATAGTCAGAGGAATTAGGCAAGAAAAGGAAATATAAGGGATAAAAACAGAAAAGGAAGAAGTCAAGTGATCACTGTTTACAGATGATATTATCCTATACCTACAGATTCAACACAAAGCCTATCCAAAGAACAATGACATTCTTCAGATAACTAGCAAAAAGGTCTCCTAAAATTCATTTGGAAGAATAAAAGACCCAGAATAGCCAAAGCAATACTGAGCTAAGACAGCCATGCTGGAGGCATCACAATAACTGACTTTAAGTGATACTACAGAGCTATAGTAAGAACACTGCATGGTACTGCCATAAAAACAGATACATAGACCAGTGGTACAGAACAGAAGACACAGAGACAAACCCACACAGAAACCGTCATCTGATCCTTGACAAAGGTGCCAAAAACATACACTGGAGAAAAGACAGCCTTTTAACAAATGGTGCTGGGAAAACTGGTTAGCCAGATGTTGAAGAATGAGACTAGACACTTACCTCTCACCCTGCATAAAAAAATCAACTCAAAGTGGATCACAGACCTAGGAATTAGACCACAAACTATGCAACTCCTTGAAGAAAATGTAGCGTCCACAGTCCCATATAGGTACAGGCAACAACTTTCACTGAGAAAATAACGTCAAGAGTTAGTAAATGGGATGGCATCAAATTTAAAAACTTCTGCATGACAAAGAAAAAATCTATGGGAGAAAGTCTCTGCTAGTTACTCTTTGGATAGAGGATTAATATTCAGAATACATAAGAAATTAAAAAAACTAAACAAAAACAAATAATCCAATTAACAAATGAGCAAATGAACTAAACAGACACTTAAAAGAAGAAATAAAAGGGCCAACAAATATATGAAAACATGTTTAACATCATTAACAATTGGGGAAATGCAAATCAAAACTATATGGAGATCTCATCTTATTTCAGTTAGAAAGGCAGCCATCAAGAATACAAACAATAATAAATGCCAAAGAGGATGTAGAGAAGAAGGAACACTTTTACAGTGGTGATGAGATTGTACATTAGTATAAGTACTATGGAAATCACTGTGGAGGTTCTTCAAAAGAATAAGAAGAAAACCACCATGGGACCCAGCTACACAACTCCTTGGCATTTATCCTAAAGAATTAAAGTCATCTTACTTTAGTGATACATGCATGCTCATGTTTATAGCAGCACAATTCACAATAGCCAAACTATGGAACCAGCCTAGGTGTCCATCAACAGATGAATGGATAAAGAAAATGTAGTATGTATAAACAATGAATTTTATTCAGCCATAATGAAGAATGAAATTATGTCATTTGCAGGAAAATGGATGGAACCTGAAAGCATCATGTTGGGTGAAATAAGCAAAACTCAGATAATCAAGGGTCATACTTTTCTCTCATCTGTAGGAGCCAAAGAGGAAAAAGGAAAAGAATGGAAAATTTTTTCTGGGAATAGAAATAACTAGTAAATGTAAAAGGAATGACAGAATCAGAATACTATCATTTGACAACCACTTTAGTAATGAATAATTTAGGAAAGATCATCACTTAGTGTTAAAATTCCTCCCAAGAATCTTAAAGAAAAAATACTATAAATACAGATAAAGAAGGTTACTGTATAATAATCAAGGGATCAATTCAATAAGGAGATAAAACAATTGTAAATGTATATGCTCTTAATGCCAGAGCACCCAATTTTATAAAACAAATACTATTGTAACTAAAGGGTGAGATAGGATCCAATACCATAATACTATACTTTTATCAATGGACAGATAATCCAGATAAAAATCAACAAAAACCTCAAAGTTGAACTATACTATATATCAAATGGATTTAACAGACATTAACAGAACATTTCATCTAATAGCTGCAG